TACACCGAAGATCTAGTTTAACCACAAAGGCAAAAAAAACCGCTGATTTCGGTCTAGGCTTACCATTAATATTTTAATTGACGATATATGTGTTACTATCAGCTAAATGGTGTATCTTTTTAGATAATAGTTTTCTGATTATTTATCTTGATAAGACGATGGTTGAGATCAATTTTCCTTTCCATATATGAGTCGTCTATTATCAAAGGTGACAAAAAAATGTTATTGATATGTCAATACAGATTGATTTGAATATAATCGTCTCCTTCAAAGAATACGGTAAAAAACCTGCATTAAATAAAGGTTAATACTTAACCTGTTATTTATCTAAGATGTCGTTCAGAAGAGTTTTGTGACTGCCAATGGAATACAAAGTCAATAATTCGTTTTTCTGATTTACCAATAATTGTCCAAAAGTCACATTGCCGGCTTTGATAATAGTCGACTCATATAAAGGTTTTGTTCCGGAGAATTTCCTCAAAAACTAAGTGTATTTATGCGATATCTCTTAAACTACATCTTATGATACGACTGATATTGTTGGCTCGTTCATGTTTCAAGATTTTTCTACTCTGCGTTAGATCTCACAATGTGCTCAATGTGTTCTCAGATATTTGCCTTTAACAATGTAGAATCCTTCACTATTGATTGATGATTTTTTTTATTGCCCTTGTAGGCAGACGAGCATACGGCCCACCTGATGGTGAATGGTTACGTCGCCCATGGACTTCAGCAATGCCGGGGTCAGAGCCAAGTCGCTGCCCACAAATCGTACCAAAACCGATCGTAACAAACATTACGATCGGTAAATATATATTTTTTACCTATTCAAACGAGCAAGTTCTACTAGTGCTCATAAAATTGGAAATATTGAAATATCGAGAACGATATGAAGTCCCTGATGTTGTCAATTGCTCCATAAAGTGACTCGATACACCGTATAAACGCCACGTGATCAGAACGTACAATATTTTATCACGAAAATATTGGAACCATTATTATTAAATATTTTTATACCAAAACTTAACTCCGTAGGATATTGAAATTGTGTTCAACAGATCCCCGGACCTACAATATAATTCTTTTAATTTTTAATAGTCATCGATGTTTCATAATTGAATAAAACACTATAAAAATATGATGATTAACTATCTGTAATTTTATATAAGACGATTTTGACATGCGTCACATATTTTTTAATATTTTTTTAAATTTAATATTACTAGTGGTCCCGCAGTAGTCGAAATTCGACTATATTTATTTGAAATTATAAGTTTGAACATTATTATGGTTCTATTGTCAAAGACTACTTATTATACTTCTATAATCACAAATTTCGCCAAAACTACACTTTAGACAAATACTAACAAAGACAAACAATATTTAATCCATTCTCAATTTGACCATAGACTTTATGCAATAAGAAAAGTTTGACAATAAACAAATAGTATGCATGCGTATGTGTCAAATAAATGGTAGATTTTGTAATCTTTTATGCATTATTTAAAAAAAAAAATTAGCATTGTGCACTCGTTCTCTATATTCTCTATAAGCGTGGGAAATTTCATACTCCTCCGTCCGCGCTATTTTCGTAAAAAGGGATACAAAGTTTTGCTTTACGTATATAGATTAACAGAAAAAATTCGCATAAAAGAGTTTGCCATACTATACAAGTATACAGTTTGCTTAGTTTAAATTAAGAATATTATTATAATGACCCAATAATCATCATTTGAAAATTTAGATAAATCTATATTAAACCATAAAATAACTAATCACACTGTAAAAGTATTGAACAAATTCAAGATTTTAAGCGAACATGGATTTTACGGCGTAAACTTTACGTTCCAACATTCGTTTGTCGTACTTTTATTACAACACAAACTACAAGAAACTTCACACAAAACAGTCTATCCACAGATCTCCCTTAAAAACACGTAGGCCAAGACAAAAACAAATACAAATCAATGATTTCGACTTAGTGAAAAAAATGCTTCTTTTCATCCAGAATACAATTGATACCGAGATATCATCGACTTCTTGGAAAACCTGTTAAGCCGTTCTTTATATTACCGGTGAAGTTCTAGAAATTTTCATGTTAAAAGGTAACCAATAACTTATGTCTGAACTGAGTAAATCTTGAGCGAATCTCAGCGTATTAGTACCGACTTTTAGAGTTATATTATTATAGTTTGATATCCAAAATAAGTAGATGAAAAGCTAAGAAAAATTAGTGCACGATTAGGTAGATTAAGATTTACTTGAAGAGTTCCAGTTGCTTAGCATTTGAATGTACAAAAACCATTTCTTATTACAATTGGTTAGCACAACAGCTTAGTGGTTGTAAGGCGTATTGTATCTCGTATGGGTAGGTATTGCTATTATGCCTATTTCTGCCGCGAAGCAGTCACATACTTCAGTTTAAAGCGTGAAATAGTTTTTAAAAAACATAATAAAACCTCGTTCTTGCGTCTAAAAAAAACAATTAAAAAACTAAGATACAAGAATATTTCTTCGAAGTAGAGCTAGGACTATTGGTTTATTCAACAAACACACCCTCTTCATTGTTTTACTCTAGAAAAAGGGAAAATGTTAAATATTTCATGGCTGCTCTGTCCAAAAATCAATTTAAAACGAGTATCTTAAAGGGTCGCTTATCTTTGGCCGGCAGCTGTGCTGAAACAACACGACCAATGAACTGCATGGGTCCGCGGTTTTATTAGAATTTAAAGCTCCAAGATTGCCTTCTGTTTGGAGCGAAACAATACCCGATTGAGTAACTTGCGGTTTCAGAAGATTTAACGGCGTCTTTCATGATTGCGAAGAGCATTCGGGTTGTAAGATATGGTTCGTGACTGAACAGTATTGGCCGTCTTTTTTTTTTCATTAGAACTGAATTTCATTCATTTCTAATATCATTTCATTAGAATTCATTAGAATTATAATAATTATAATAATGCCATAGTAAATATGAGAATATTTTGTGGTGGTAAATTCTCTGTAGACCAAACATAGGAACGTTGTTATTGGGTAGTTATACAAACGGAACACTTAATATTGTTGATAGCACGGTTCAGTTTTTCATAGGTTCCATTTATATAGTGTTAAGCACGAAAAAATAAAACAAATTACTGATGGTAGGACCCCTTGTTAGTCCGCAAGAGGCCACTACCCTGCCTATTTCTGCCGTGAAGCAGTAATACGTTTCGGTGGGGCAGCCGTTGTAACTATACTTGAGACCTTAGAACTTATATCTCAAGGTGGGTGGCACATTTACGTTTTAGATGTCTATGGGCTCCAGTAACCACTTAACAACAGGTGAGCTGTGAGCACGTCGAACCATTTAAGCAATAAATAAAAAAAACAGGTAAGTTGATAATGTTCTGACAAAAACAAAGTGCCTACAACTGTACTACAGTTTTAAGAATTTGATGTAAAATTAATCACTGAAAATGTATAAAGCTCCAGGAAAATGTTATAATAACATTTTTGAATAATTTTATGACGTCTTAATCAGGTCTTCAGCGTCAACGACGTAAATGAGTCTTAAATAAAATGGCGCTAATAATATTTATGTGACAAACAATTCTAAAGCGTTTCCTCCTGAATTTTTCCATTTTAAAAGGTGATTTTGAGTTTATTTCTCTTTAGTCGCCTTCGATTAAACTTAATGAAATTAGTACTCAGTATCCAATGAATTTTTTTATTATGAAAAAGCTAACCTTGTTTTCTGGAAAAGATTTCTACGTTTATTCCTCGTTTGAATGAAAAGTAGACACATTGCCCTTTACCTCAGAAAGTGTTTTAATTTGAGTATTGTTGTAGTGGAAAAAGGTGGGAATTTTGGATGCTCGGAACTTTTTTGATACATTCATGAGACGTTACTATGTTACTAATTTTCGCACAGTGGTTGGCTTAATTAGCAATTGTGCCAACAGATGTAATATATTTCATCAGTTAAACAAAAGAAGTAACGTCTCTCGACGGCCAAGTAATGGAACGTATGATGAATACACATTTTAACTTTTAACATACCTTCAACATTACGTAAATAATTGTATATCTACTAATATTATAATCAATACACTTTTTTTTCAATTATACGACTACCTTATTAATCATGTTGGCGTTGTTTGATTGTCACATCCAAATAAAGAACCCGTTCCCGCATCCAAGACGAAAAGTCATTTGGGAAATTCGTAGGGTGCGAACGCCGACGTGGGGCGTTGTGTTTTCACTCAGTGTCGCTTTCGGCTAGGACGCGAGAGGGCGCCGCTCGCGCTCCGCTAAGCCACGTGACTCGTTGTTTGAATCGTAAAACAAACAAACAATGCTATCTCGATACAATACAGCTAAACTATGAGATCAAAATCGCTCGGAGATGAATATTACAACGAGACCGCCGTACAGTCACGGAAAACTTTTCATGTTATTCAGTTTCGTGGTTGCTGTGTTCCTAACGGGAGTATTTCTCCGGAAAAGAAGCAAACAATCGCAGCTGACGAATCCGCACGAAATTCAGGAGCCCGAGGACATCGAATACGAGTCTATGATAAATGCGAACGCAACGGAGCCGACTAAAACACGAAGAAAAGAATACCTGTACCGCCTTTTGACAAATACGACCCGTTCGCTCATACAAATGGAAATAAAAGCCAGGAGACTGGAGGAAAATATACGAAGGATCGAGGAGAAGACTGCGGATTTATTGTGGAAGAACAAGGACAAAGCGTTGTGGCACATCCTATTCAAGAACATAAGCAGGCACATTTCAATACGGCACGAGTTTCATCAGCACGCCAGCCTGAAGCGTATTATGAAAGACGCTCACTCACATAAACGCAAAACAAGAAGAAAATATTTATCACACCAATAAACATTTATATAAAATAGTTTGTACGATAAACAGTTTTGTGTATAATAATACGTTTAAGAAGAACATTATTTTTTTAAACTGACAATAAAAGTATTTTATGTAGCATCTTCTTAAAGTGTAACGAATGCAGTCGATTTTAGTCCGCGGAGCACGTAAGTCCCATATGTCAGTCTTATTTCCTTGTCACAGTATTATTGTGTCGTATTCGCCCGCCCGCCTAGTATTAACGAGAGAACGTTTTCTGATATTGCTCTTACTTTACGTTAAGGTAAAGATTGCAATTTGTTTTTGTCAAGGCGTATTCCGCACACGTATCCCGTGATTAACGAGTTTCACACGTAGCCTTAATGTACGTGAATTAATTACATTTATATATACGATGTTACTTGAATGTAGCTTTTAGGTATTGTTATTAAGTTCTTAAATCTCTGGAACACGCTGTTAGTAAATTGGTAAATTTCAATGTTTGTTTATATTTAGATAGTAATTCTTTTTGGATGCGATTTGTTTTAGGTCAGTAAATCCTACAGTGCTTAAAGTCTATCCGGATATTTATCACGGGATCCGGGTATGTACGTGACCTAAGCCACCTCTAGCTACTGCTACTACATCTGCAGCTTATATTTAACGGGTGAAGGATGCGAGTAGAACTACCTGAACCCTCCGAACCCCTGTTGTCCCATAATTTTTCATCTGCTAGAGCTTAATGTACGGGCGAATTCCGGGATATCATTTCTTTCTGTGTCAAAACATAGATGGAATTAATCAAAAGATATGACTTTCACATAACATATCAAAGTGGGCGTAATCACGCGATTTTATGATGTCTATGACCTCTGCTTATCACTTAACAGTGTGATGCAGTAGCTTCGCTACCGATTACCCGATTATATACATGTCATGTGAATACCCGCAATGAGATAATATAAGATCGAAGACTACGTATTTTTGCCGAGAAGCACTCATCTGTCTTAAATTGCGTTTGAGCATATAAGTTGTAAGGTCTATGGGTGCAGTTAATCATCTAACACCAAGGAGCCAGTTCATTAATTTATGCAATCAACAAATAAATAAATAAAACTAATGGGTCCATGGGCAATCACTCACCATCAGGTGGGCAGAGGGCCGGGCAATAAAAACAAGTATAAATAAATGAGCAGAGACAAAAAACGTGAACTAAGCATATACTATTATATACTTACTATTTATATAATATATATATTTTACTGGTGGTAGGACCTCTTGTGAGTCCGCACGGGTAGGTACCACCGCCCCGCCTATTTCTGCCGTGAAGCAGTAATGCGTTTCGGATTGAAGGGTGGGGCAGCCGTTGTGACTATACTGAGACCTTAGAACTTATATCTCAAAGTGTGTGGCGCATTTACGTTGTAGATGTCTATGGGCTCCAGTAACCACTTAACATCAGGTGGGCTGTGAGCTCGACCACACACATAAGCAATAATAAACTGTAATTTTTAAAACCACCATAAATATATGTCTGTTCATTTTTAACTCGTACGCCAATAATAATTAAAAACTTTATAAATTGGTTTTCACACTTTTAAGCGAAAATGATATAGGAACATATTTTATTATCACCCGTAATGTTTATTTTCTTGTCATGTACATACAGTATCCGCTACGTTCGGTTCTAATATACTTTAATTAAATATTAACGTTCTGATCTTTACGATTGAGTTTAAAATCGTTTAACTTATTTTGTGGTTTGTGATGTTATGATTTTATTGACCGATATGCAAAGAAGTAGGTACAGGAAAGTAAACGTCAGATATTATTGTGTTTGTTTTAGTTCACAGTTCATTCACTAGTCGTTCGGTTATTCTATAGGCTAGCTGTTTGTTGTGCTGTGCATTTAATTTTGGAAGCCATGTCTTGTTGTGAGTTATTTTTTTTAACGCAAAATGATTCATTTTTGTTTTATCACTCAGTGTTTTTATGGTGGAAATAATTGGTTAATTAATTGTTTAATTAACATTTTATCGGCAGAAAGCTAGTGTTGTAGCCGGTGACAGTGACTTGTAATTATGTTAAAATGATAGCTATTTTTCTCGTAACTAACGGGTACAGTGACTTGTGATTGTCGTAAAATGATAGCTATTTTTGTTTTATGACATGGTTTTTGCTAATTTTTGGGTATTCAAGTACAAGGTTTAAAATGAAAATAAACTTTCATGTTTCTCAAGTGTTTACAAATAAGTTTTTATATTTTAAGACCCTTTGGATTTTTTATTTAAGATAACATGAGATGTATTATTATTTCCTAACTAATATTTCAAAGGTTATGTTAGAAACTTGATTCATTAACGGTGCTTTTAGGTACCTCAAGCACCGGTCATCGTCCTCGCCGAACCCGTCGCTTGCGACGAAGAGCTCGACGAGTAAATTAACCCGTAGACACAGCCCACTGAGTTTCTCGCCGGATCTTCTCAGTGTGTCGCGTTTCGGATCCGGTGGTAGATTCTGTGAAGCACTGCTCTGGCCAGGGTCAGTGTTAACAACCCTCCCGGTTTGAGCCCCGTGAGCTCACCTACGCGTCTTGGCGAAGCTGAAATAGCCTCTCAAGGCTATCAGCATAGGTAGAATTTTTTTTAGCAATTTTGTTTTATGTTGACGCTTTCTTGGTCCTTCTAGTGACCATAGCTACTGTGGAGGGGACTTTAGTAAGTAGAATATTCTTAGGTCTTAGGGTTTTCTCAGGGTTTGGGTAAGCTTGTTCGTGTCTCGTATGTATTTTTGATATCTGTAAAGCAGGAGAAAGTCCTTGTTTGTTTTAGGCACATAATAACGTATGTAGATTATTTTCATTATTCTATCAATATACATTGTGCCCCTACAGACTTATCTTTAGACCCGAACACTTCAAGCTAATTTGTAGAAAAAAAATATTTTAGAATCATATGATCAAACATAATCTAATACAGTTTTTTTAAATCATGGATGAGTCAACAAAAAAAAAGCGAATCAATGTGAGAGCGTTTTGAAATCAATATGCCAATATTTATTGACAGATTGACTGAAACAGATTAGATAAATAATGCACTAGATAACATATTAGCCATAAGTCCATTTGAACAAGCGATCGGTGGTTTTCAGGTTTAAATTTTTCACATCTTCTCATTTTACTGGATAGGTACCACCACCCAATTTCTACCCTGAAACAGTAATGCGTTTCAGTTTGAAGGGTAGGGCAGCCGTTGTAGTGTTAAAACTGAGACTTAGAACTTATGTCTCGAGGTGGGTGGCGGCATTTACGTTGTAGGTGTCTATGGGCTCCGGTAACCACTGAACATCAGGTGGGCCTTGAGCTCGCACACACATCCAACCAAGCAACCTAGGGCATATTTTTTTGTCAGTTTCTATAGACCTTGCGATATGATATTGGATTCTCAACTGTAAAACGCCTTCCCTTTAAACCGAAACTGACTATGCGGCAGAAAAAAACTGAAGCTACGAGAAAACTTCATCAATAAGACCGTGTATGGTTGTAGTAATGCGATCGAAAGAGACAAACCAAAAACTTGAATAAGTCCTAGCATGAAATAAGTAATAATATAAAATATTTTTCATATTTAATAATAGCTACGAAGAAATAATATCAAAAAGACTATTTTCAGCCTTTTAAACTTGGGCTCGACTCGGAGAATTACTGTTCTTATTTGTCAGCCCTTTGAGAAGATTATTCGACCGTGTCACGTGATAAGAGGAATAAAGGACCGGGTAAGAATGTACAGCGACAAAAAATGTCTAAAGGGTGCTTCGCATACGCAAAGTCGAGGGCTCCTTACAAATTAATGAACAAAATTCGGTAATGTAAAATTGTTCTGTCAAGTCGGTTGTAGCTGCGGCAAATACGATGCTATAGTTTGGAATCAAAAGACAGAATAGTTTTTTTTTACATAATATAAATAGCAAAAGAGAAGATTTCAGAACAATTAAGCACCGTTTCACCTTCTACTTGTCAATCATTCATTAGACTGTGATTTCAATATTACCGTGCTGTGTGTATGTTCATCTATTTTTGATCTAATCATATAATTAATATCTTTTTTTTTATTGCTTAGATGGGTGAACGAACTCACAGCCCACCTGGTGTTCAGTGGTTACTGGAGCCCATAGACATCTACAAAGTAAATGCGCCACCTACCTCGATATATAAGTTCTAAGGTCTCAAGTATAGTTACAACGGCTGCCCCCACCCTTCAAACCGAAACGCATTACTGCTTCACGGCAGAAATAGGCAGGGTGGTGGTACCCACCCCCGCGGACTCACAAGAGGTCCTACCACCAGTAATTACGAAAATTATAATTTTGCGGGTTTGTTTTTTATTACACGATGTTATTCCTTCACCGTGGGAGTCAATCGTCAACGTAAATAGGAATTATTATCAAACTCAGAGAACCCCAAAAATCCAACACTTTGTGTAGGGTCGTTTGAATTTTATCATTCACGCCTCGAGGTAGAACATCAAAGCAATACCTTAAACGTCTTCCCAAGAACCTTGCTTCTTTTAAAGTAAATTTTAGGACATTATTTTCTCGTAATTTAAATAGCGCCGCATAGAGAAAGAAATAAAAATAATAATTCTAAATTTAATATTCAACTTTCAGAGTAAATCACAATTTTGAATTTAGAACACAGTTATTTTACACTCTAGATTAGTAAACTGATTTCTCGTCTATAGTTTTCAGAATTCACAGATATAGTATTAAAATACCTATTTTTATTATCGCATAATTATTTGAAAAATCGTTTTATTAGGAAAGCAGTATTTATCTACCAGGAAACGGGATAGACTAATGCTTTGTTTAAATCAAAGAGAATGTCGTTGACATTAAATTTGTCAAACTAATAAAAGACAATTTACGAGCAAAGGGATCGCGAAAACAGTGTCAGATACATCAAGAGGCTTGCAAGTTATCTTTCGTAGCTCGGGGCATAGCATCAAAGAGTTGTCTGAAACGCGCTCTTTTAAATCTTCTTGACTTTAATCTAAATGCTTAGATAAAACCTTTTTTTTTTTCGTTCAAAGAAATCTCCAGCACTTGTCGGAATATTAATCATCATTTTAACGTTAACGCGTTTTGACAAAGTAAAAGAGAAAAAAGTGAACCTTAAAAATAAAGCAGTAAAATTACGACATTTAGTTAAATTGTCTGCCATAACATTGAATTTGCACGCTCAAGGTTATTAATTTTGTTTTCTGAAAATTCGATTTCAAACAGTTATTTATTATTTGTAAAAACTAAAATAGTTTAGCGTACAACATTATTAATTAAAATTTAAATGCTGAATAACTTTATTAGCAAAACATTCGCATGATTACTTATGAATATTTATATGAACAACATGAGCTGACTGAATTATAATATGTTGATGCTATTACATTTTGCAAAAGGCAATCTATATGCAAGAATCACCTGACATGATTACCTAATAAGGGACAAGTTCCCTTATTCCAACGCTCCCCTTACTTATTATGAAACGGAAAAATTATGTTTTGTTGCCTACAGAAGATTTATTGGTGACGACAGTCCTTCCTAACTGGGAATTCGGGAGAAAATTGAGTGCTGTTAAACAATATTGAAAGGAAATTAAATACAGAAAAATCTTTCGTTTCGTAATGGGAAAACGATTTTTTTTTTGTTTTCGCTTCGATAAAGTGATTTCGTGTGGGTGAATTGCGCTGTTGTTTTCCGATGAATAAGATTTTCCATGAAATTCGCTGTCGTAATTCATTAGGGACGACTTTGGAAATCATCTTGAACACGAAATGCTTTGTGTGCGGTCGCGTGAGGTTTCTTTCTGTTGAGGTCAAACTTTCTAGAAAATTTAGTATCTGGTAAAATACCACAACTTGATAAGATGACAGTTTAAAAAGGTTCAACAAATGTTCGTGTTTCGTAGAACATTTCGCGATCAACACAGCGAATCATGTGAATGAAGATTAAAAAATCATTCAACATTTCGAATCGGTTGTGCCTTAATGGGTGAAATGTCCGAGGCACTATAACCCAGTTAAAATTTCGTAATGGTACTGATTATAAAAGGACAAAAATTATGAAAAAGAGGTCCACGAATGAACAAGCCGAACAAACCGTGTCCAGAAGTTTTGTTCTAATCGCCTGCCCGTGTGCATTTTCTCAAAATCTCAAATGCTAATGAGTTACAATTATTTAAATATTTATACACGAAGAAACACTACATGGTTTTTTTTATTTATTGCTTAGATGGGGGACGAGCTCACAGCGCACCTCGTGTTAAGTGGTTACTGGAGCCCATAGACATCTACTACATAAATGCGTCACCCACCTTGAGATATAAGTTCTAAGGTCTCAGTATAGTTACAACGGCTGCCCTGCCCTTCAAACCGAAACGCATTACTGCTTCACGGCAGAAATAGGCAGGGCAGTGGTACCTACCCGTGCGGACTCCCAAGAGGTCCTACCACCAGTGATTACGCAAATTATAATTTTGCGGGTTTGGTTTTTATTACACGATGTTATTCCTTCACTGTGGAAGTCAATCGTGAACATTTGTTGAGTACGTATTTCATTAGAAAAATTGGTACTCGCCTGCGGGATTCGAACAGCGGTGCATCGCCACATACGAATGCACCGGACGTCTTATCCTTTAGGCCACGACGACTTCAAATCACGTTCAAATAAAATCACGTTCTCACGACTTATAAACGACAATTTACAATCAATCAATTCATGCAATTAATTTTGACAGGTAAAGGACCAGGGTATGCGTCACCATTAGACGCATTTAATAATGGACCGAGGGAAGAACTTCTTTACGTGGTCTGCGTTCGGCCAAACAAAAACAAACAGGACTATCTTGCAACAGTGGACGTTGATTCTAAATCCCCAACATACGGCCAGGTGCGTAGTTTACGTGTTACTAATCACATACGGTATCATTCATCATCATTATATTAGTTCTGACGTTTCAAATGGTTTACGCCTTTCGTGGATCCTGATGTTGAAAATTAATCCATTTTAGTTCACGTTTACCGAATACCGTAGTAGATAATACCATGATTTTTACTATTTCTGCTTTTTTTTTATGGCTTAGATGGATGGACAAGCTCACAGCCCACCTGGTGTTAAATGGTTACTGGAGCCCATAGACATCTACAACATAAATGCGCCACCCACCTTGAGATATAAGTTCTAAGGTCTCAAGTATTGTTACAACGGCTGCCCCACCCTTTAAACCGAAACGCATTACTGCTTCACGGCAGAAATAAGCAGAGCGGTGGTACCTACCCGCGCGGACTTACAAGAGGTCCTACCACCAGTAATTACGCAAATTATAATTTTGCGGGTTTGATTTTTATTATACGATGTTATTCCTTCACCGTGGAAGTCAATCGTGAACGTTTGTTAAGTACCTATTTCATTAGAAAAATTGGTACCCGCCTGCGAGATTCGAACACCAGTGCATCGCTCAACACGAATGCACCGGACGTCTTATCCTTTAGGCCACGACGACTTTAATACTGCGACGACTGCTGCAGAGTACTCATGCGTTTCGGTTTGAAGGATGATTTCAAACTCAAATCTAAAGGTTGTGTTCACGTATGAGATCCAGTGATTTCTCATACCAAGTGGCCGTGAGCTGACCTTAAAATTTTTAAAGTGTTTATTCAGTACCAACATGTTATACGTCAGTACAAAACAAAACAAGTAGCACATACATTAATCTCAAAATAAATGCTAACACAATTACAAATACCTACTGCATACATTTTGGCTAAACAAGCGCTTAATTTTATGTTTCTCGAAGAGCATTAAAAACATTTAAAAAAACTTATCGGCTTAGAATATCATCACATTAACACAGACATAAGCTACAGTTAAAATAAAAAATCATGTTGGTAAAAATTATTTTCACCTAAATTAAATGAATATGAGAGAAAAGCAATGCATAATAATGATATTGAATTTAAATACTAAATGCTATCATTTTAAATTCGATATGGTTCATTGTTATCGATTTCTCAATGTCATAATATTGAACTTGGTATATTCGAAGTATAACATATTTTTTTAAATTAGATAAACCTTTTTTATTTATGTATATAATACATATATATATATATATATATATATAAAACAAGAACATTGATAAAATCTTAGTAAGAGACTAATTCCGATTTACAACGAGTATTCCTTTTATTATATATTCAAGTGGGCCGAGGGCCGTACCTCCTACTACGTACCCGCGCCAAGGGGGCACGTGGGTTACGTAGAACTGCTCCGCAGGTGTTGGGAGCGGATCTCGGGCCCCGATCCCCCCGAGGTCAGAACCCGGGTGGGGTAAGGGGGTTACCGCGGTCACACTGTAACCAGACAGCGCAGCTCACCCCAAAGACGCCCGACCGACGGAGCCTTCGAGGCGAAGAACGAAGGCTAGAACGTCAGCCGTCATGGTACGGCAGCTCGTCAGGCTGCCCTGACAGTGCTGCTGGTATCCCGGAATACCCAGCTAGACCAGAACCAGCCTGCAGGGTCAAGACACGATAAACCACCAACCGGTTGCTCTTTATCACAATGGTAGTGATATTACTTTTCGGCAGCGCGTTAGAGCGCTGGTAGCGCGCCGCGCACCCTCAACCCCCTCAAGTCGCCCCATGATCTTCAACGGGGTGAAGCCGCTTCCTACTTGGGTCTGGACGTACGCTCGTACTGTGTCTTCCGACCCCCGGCTCGATGGCGACGGATCCGTGCGGAGAGCGAAGAGCTCTGCCTCTCTCGTTCCTCCGCCTCCTTCGGCGAGATGGTTATGACAGAAGTCGAGCACCATCTTCCAGGACGCGTCGCTACCGAGCATCGTATCCATGACAATCGACAGCGACAGGTCCTCTCCTATAACCGCAACAAAGGCGGCGCACTGCTCTGCTCAGGCGGTGCAGCGCGCAAGTGTATAGTCCGCGGTGCCCTTCTCATCGCGGTCGTCGCAGTGGTGATACTGCGCCGTCGGTTTTCTATGGCAACGCGGTGCAGGTACCGGTCAAAGCAATCGTGGCCGATGAGCACCTGCGTCAGCAGAAAGGTGAGGCGTCCTCGGTTGCGACCCACCCAGTCCGCAAATCCGGGCGGAGCGTCTCGACAATTCGTAAGCCGTAGGACGGGTTCGCCAAACGGCGAGACCATGAATTCAGGACGGAAGGCAAAGATTGGAACCCCCACGCTCGAATCACTCCTTCGCCAGGGCACCGCTCTCCCCTACATCGAGGTGGCTACGCCAGGAATTAACTCTCCTACCCGGTGTGTCTCGAGCACTATGAAATGTTTTTGTTGAACAGTCTTGCAGAGAGTCCTTAGCATTAGGCAGCGACTTGGCTGTCCTAGTAGTGCTGATGTTCATAAGCGACAGTGAGTACTTATTATCAGATGGGCTGTATGGTCATCTGCCAAGAAAGGCAATAAAAAAATCGCTACTTCTCCGTCTTAATTTGAAACATTTCACAGTAGTGTAAGCTTTAGAACAAATCTTCGCACACAATATATCGCATTCCGGCTGTTAATTCTGTGTCGTGAACGGTATTGCAATGGTGTAGTATACAATAATAGTTTCAAGCTGAATCCTGAAATCCTGCAGGATTACCGAGACGTTATTGCCTCCCAACGATATCCCAGGACTGAATTGAGGACGTGAAGGGTTTATTCTCTAATACCAAAGTCCAGTAATTGCGTATTTTTGTTGCCCTTTGGTCAAATAAAGGAGAATTTACGCTGGGCAATATTGGGCTAGTAGCACACCGGAACTAATTAAGGGCCTGCGAGAGAAAATGATATTTGCTAAAAATGGAGAGAGAGCATTATCGTAGATGGCTCAAGTAGGTTACCGAGAAATTAAGCAATTTTCTCCAAATGATCTGGCGAGGTCAAGTGCTTGACCTTTTTCAATTTGATAGGACGTGAACTCAATGTAATGAACGATAACGAGAATAGTAACAATGTTAAATATTACATAATTTTTTATATTAATAATCTTTTGTATCTGAGAATTGTTCTCAAAGCTGTGTTTAAGAATACTAGTGGTCCCGCAGTAGTCGAAATTCGACTATAATTAATTGGAATTGTAAGTTTGTACACTATTAAGATTGTATTTTATACTTCTATAATCACAAATATCGCCAAGACTACATCTATTCTCAATTTGACAACACACGTCAAGAACAAAAGTTTGACAATAAATAGTATGCATGCGTGTGTGCGTCAAATACATGGTATGTACTGTGTGTAATGTTTTCTTTATTGATTTAATGTATCTTTTACGCATTATTTAAAAAAAATATCAGCATTGTGCACTTCTTCTCTATATACTTATAGAGATATAAGTGTGGAAAATTTCATACTCCTCCGTCCGCGCAATTTTCGTAAAAAGGGATACAAAGCTTTTGCTTCACGTATTAATATAATGGTATATGGTATAATATATTAGTATATGGCTAATTAAGTTTTTAAAGTGCTTTTATAAATACCAATCGTACTTAGCGGTCGTAGTTAAACTGAAATTTGGTTTCATCTATACTAATATAAAAATCTACAGTGGTTTTTACGGATGATCCGTTATAACTACTGAACCATGCATCCGATTGACTTAAAACTTGGTATTCATGTAGAAAATACATGTACTTAATGGATAAGCTAATATTTATATGAGTGTTGGACTCCCTAATAATAATGACAATAAATAATAATGTTAATGTATGGCGAGTATGGCTTAGTCTAGCTATAATATTTGATGATGAGACTTAATTCAATTGAATTTTGTCACTCAGGTCATTCACCGCACCTACACGGGAGTAACAGAAGACGAACTGCATCACAGCGGCTGGAATGTCTGTTCGAGTTGCCATGACAACGCGGCTCTGAAGCGAGACCTTCTCATAATGCCGGGATTGCATTCATGCAATGTCTACGCCGTTGACGTCGGGACCGATCCTAGGAAGCCTCGATTGCATAAGGTAGCTATGGTTATTTGAAATGTCGTGTTTCACAATACTTTTATAATAGAGTTTGTATGATTTATGATTTAGGTAGGTATAAAGTTTTACGGACACTGCCTATATTTAGATTCGAATGTTGATTTTATTAACTTAATTTATTGTATTTTCTTCGATATTCGCCGTTATACGGTTGAATCTAGAGTTTATTATTTTCATGTGAACTTCCCTTATTATAACTTGTTATTCCATATTACCCACTACCAATAATTATAAATTAATTACATATTGTGATGGATTTTGAATACACGATACTATTTGTTTATCCTGAAAGTCATTCGCGAATACTTAACCAATATGAATTTTCTAAAAAAAAATGCTTTTTTAAATGCGGGATTTGAACACCCGAATAGACGCGTTGTTTGCTGCTAGTACTTTGAGCGTCTTATCCTTCAGGGCATGTCGACTTATATACCGACGACATACAACTTTAATACAAAGTACCCTTGCTATGTTGGTAAATTATAGTTTACAGCATTTTAGTGAACTACATCTCAAAAAATATCATAATAATACAGAGTCTGTCTAGTTATTGTTCGAACAATACCTTCGAGTATGTGGCCTACACTTATCTGCCCTCAGAATTTTACCTTATGTCAAACATTAGACATTCCTACTATAACGATAGTGGTACGTTAATCAATTGAAAGGACGGTGTCACGCCTTTTGCCGCATCACGCTGTATATAACTACGTTTTGTAAACAATAAAAAAAAATCTAATGTAAAATTTTGTACGTGTCTTATCGCATCAGCGGGTGTAACTGCAATAATAAATATGCCACAGCGCTTGCTGGTTAGCAAATTTACGCAATGATATATCTACAGTGTTATGGTAACTCATGATCTTAAGAAAATGCAAAGTGTTTAAATTTTTTCTGGATTAGAAACATAATGAAAAGGCTGTGCAGATATCGTTGTCAAATAAAATTACGTTGGATAAAATAAAGTCTTTGAAACGAAGGCCGAGTGCAGATTTATAAGGACGCCATTTATCTGACTCAGGAGCCAGTTATTTTCTATTTACCTTCCAAATGTCTCCAGATAGCTTAATTCGATTTAATTCGCTGCTTTACATAACAAATATTCTAGTAAACTAGCTAACAACTCAGCTATGAGATCATATTAATTATTTTGGATAACAATTTAGTGTTATGTGTAGATTTCAATATCATTAGGATAATATGTTGACAAGAAAAATAAATTAACTGACAATTTTCTCGTCTATTTATGTATGCATCAAATCATTATTAATAAAATTCCGTAATAACTAAATTTCATTGCGCACAATTCAAATATATTTCTTATAAACTTTCTACATTTATTTTTTATGACCTACACTAGCAAATGAGCAGCAGTTGTGTAAGTGGATTGATAATATTATGCTACCAACAGTGAATACTCATGAAGGCTTGCATGTTTTAATTTAGAGGAACAATCAAAATTTCTAAAGTAGGTACAAAAGAAGCCTCTTTTTAATTTGTAAGTATTCTCTTCCCGAATTAATTTTAATGAACGTACGCATAAAGAGATTCTTCGATATTTTAATTAGATAAAATTCATCTCATTAAACTTTGCGTTAAACACCCACCGGCATGTTCTCAACGAAATTTGTAAAAAATAATCGTAGGCAAATTTGTATAATATTATGATTGTTTTCATAATTTTAATTATTTGTGAAGGATTATTTTTTATATTAATTATAAGGATGTATGTATATTTTAGTTTAAGGATCAACATTACAGACGGTGACCGACTTTAGTTGAAAATATAACTTTTATTTGTATGTTTTGACCGCGTATCAAGTAGGCTGTGTGTAGCTGTAGCTTATCCTCTTATCGACGCTTAAACAAAACAATGAAAGTTCGAGCTTCACTTAGAGCTTTTTGCATTGACCGGCATGTTCAAAGAAAAAAGACCAAACGTAGTGTAAGTTAGTTTAACTTGTACTACATTTATTTGAGAAATGAACACTGCTTTTCAGCACAAGAAACGGGTTTTCGAAGACAGCCAAAAAAGAATTCATATCGTCCGCCCATAGTAATAACTTGTACGAGAAATATGTGGAAATATAAATTCGTTTTTAATCGAATTCAAAAAAGGAATAGATTCTCAAGCCGACTGTGTTTTTTTAAGTGTTTTTTTTGCTTTTTTTTGGAAGCAGTCTCATTTAATCCCATTTGAATTTTATCAAAATCTGACCAAGAGCTTTTGAATTATCCTTAATAATGCGTACTTAATTGACTGCGACTACATTGATAACATTCTCGTTTTATTTTGTTGAGTCTTTTTTCTTTTTTGTTTAAATTTTTGTTTTATCAAATTGATAGATTTGATCTGGTTTTCGATAACAAAAGTCGAGCTCAGTGTTCACACGAAAGAGTAAAATTTGGTCAAGTCAATATTGTCATCGGAATATTAGCGTTATTTGAAGTGCTCACGAATTGCTTTAATGAATACTTAGCCGAATCCTCGACCCACGCTGGTTCTGACCCAGCGGGGTATTCCGTAGGATAGACCATTCTAACCGGCGCCATCTAGGCGGGCTCCGGATAGCCTGCCGACCGAGAGGCCACTTTCCCCCTTTGCCTTTTCATGAGTTCTGTCTCATGTGAGGTTTGGACGTTGGTTGTTGAGCGACAGGAGGTTTTATTCGGTTCGACTCCGACATGCTCCGCCCGCCGTCCCCAGTGGAGGGCGGAAGTCCGGCGATTTCCTTCTGAACAAAAAAAAAAAAAAAAAACAAAAAAAAAATACTTAGCCGAAATTTCATTAAAATTTAACCATTATTTCTACGATAACAACATCTATTCCATTCAAAAGTCAAGAGTTCATTAAAAATTGAAAAGAGTAATTATTAACAAGTAAATTTTCACTTTTCTATGAATTGAACAAATTTAGCCGCATTATTTTGTTGCTTAAGTTAATCTCAAATAGAACACAAAAGTCAAAAGATCGTAAACGTAATTAAATCTATATATATATATAAAAGAAAGTCGTGTTAGTTACACTATTTATAACTCAAGAACGGCTGAACTGATTGAGCTGAAAATTGGTGGAGAGGTAGCTTAGAACCAGGAAAAGGACATAGGATACTTTTTATCACGCTCCTGTGGGACGCGACATAAAACGTGGTTTAAAAAAAACGCAACTGATATGGAATAACAAAATGCAACTGACAGCTAAACGTAATGTAGTCTATGGCTAATTATAGTAGAATTTTGAAGTTGACCGGTTGATGTGTTTGTTTCGAATTTCTATTTATTGTGCCGAGATAGGTAATCATTAAGAAAGCCATGCCGCGACCAGCACTATCAAATCTTTCCCGACGAAGCCGTAATGCAACTATGATTCGAAGCATTGCGAGTGAAAGGACTGAAGAAGAACAAGAAAATACAATAATAATAATACCAGCTTAAATACATGGCCAATAAAGTATCATTAAAATACTTGCTATTTTAATTTATATTAATTATCCAAATAAGAAATTGACCATGATAAAATCGAAAGTCTGCTCATTTATTGCCTCTAAGGCGGAACAAAGTTTGCCGGGTCACCTAATATTTCATAAATAAAATCAGTTTATACGCCTATTGTTGTGGCGGTAGATATAATATGAGTACAACAGAAGAAAGGTGACAGATACCGGAATCTCGCTTACGATCATTTCAAGATAAGCTTGCATGTATATAAGTTCTAAACAGCAACATTCGGACCGTCGGTTCACGTAACCATTAAGTTTCTATTCAAGATTAAAATTTTTATTTGTTCTTCTTATGTATTATGTTTGAAGTTATTTAAAAACTCGATCCCAAAAGCTATATAATATGAGTACAGTACATATATGTTTGCTGTTCAACAAACATATAAAAACATATATTCATGGAAGGGTACATTTTACGGTTTGTTATTGCGATTATGCGTTCAACTCTGAAAGATGGGCTAATCACCATACGACCAAATTGAGAGTTTTACCTCATTTGTCAATGTTGGTGACAGCCTTCACTATATGAGATCTATGGACTCCGATATCAACTTAAAATTAGGTCACTTTAAATTAATTTGCTTAAGCAACCACACAAACAATCGGTGTTAGGCGATTTTCGTCTAATATAAATTCGTGATATGCTTCTAAGGTTTTGTTCGATTACGATGAATGATTGAAATGCGATTATAGGCTTTTTTGGGACTGAATCTCCTAATAAACTCCGAATAAAAACTAATGCGATTAGAGCATTTAGCCACAAGTAACCACTTATGCTATTGGAAGTTACGATCCACAAATAAAATTATTTAATTGCACGAACCGAAAACACACCATAGCCAAAGCTTAATGACCCAATGACCATAACCGTCAAATATGGATTTATGAAAATTCTACGCCAAAAAGTTATATTGATAAATATCCAACAAAATCAGAGTAATCAAATAACTATCTAATCACAGCAACTGTTCAGGAAACTAATCTATCTAAACAGAAGACCACGAAACATTTCCGAAGAATATCAATCATTATCCAACGCGATAATTATTGCATTCAGTAGCTTTGGTTGTGAGTTCGCAACTAACTCACGCCTTCCGTCGAACTCATCAGGATACATCGAGAAACTTCTAACAGTGCTACTCATGAAGCTTGCAATCCGATTGTATTGGCTTTTAGGGAGTCTTTCTCGAGTAGTTTCCGTGATAAAATAGTAATATTACTCTCACAATTGGGTTTATTAAAAATAAATGAGGATTAAACATACTAATAGCTTGTGCAAGAGTTTGGGAAACCAGAAATGGGATTCATTTTATTTTGTGATATGCATACATACGTATGTATATGTATGTTAAAATATATGAAGACGTAACGTACTATATTGACTGACTCGGTGGGGTAGTAATTAGTGCCCCTGATTATTGGGGCGGGGGTCGTGGGTTCGATTATCGCGATAACATTCGTGTGATGAACAGATTTATTTGCTCTGTCGGGATGTTCAATATCTATATACGTATGTTTATATTTAAACGTATATAAGTATGTATATCAATCTCTGGTTCTCATAGTACAGGGAATCCTAGTTTGTTGCTAGGTGAGCGTGTGTGGCTTTTCTCTCAGTTATTATTATTACTATGATAAGCTACTATCGATTTATTCATGATACTTAAAATAATGTATCTAAATGTTTATCATATGTTTATCCAATAAGCTTAGCTCAAAAAAGTTAGGAACTTATTTGGAATTTATCAAGTCCTCGTTCTCTTTATTATCTTTTAAAGGTATTCAAATATCCAATCCAAACATCCAAAATATCTTTACCATTAGGTAATCGACGGCTCAAAGATGAGGTCATTCAACTGCAGTTTCCCGCACACGACGCACTGCCTGGCAACCGGCGAAATTATGATCTCAACGATGGGAGATGAAAACGAAAACGGAAAGGGGGATTTTGTGCTCATCGACTCGAAGACTTTGGAACTGACAGGTGGGTACTGAATGTGATTTGACGGAGGGTAAGAACACTCTAGTTTGAAAATACTTGTGAATCAACTATATTTGGTTTTTAGGAACGTGGACTAAGGGGAAAAATCTTGCTAAATTTGGCTACGATTTTTGGTATCAACCATACCATGATGTTATGATTTCCTCAGAATGGGGTACCCCGAAATATTTTAAAAGGTATTCTCACTCTATTAATTCATATTAAATATATATTAGTAATATAACTTAAATATTTCACCATTTTACTGAACCTAGGTTTACTTATTAATTTGGAAACACCTGTCACATATTTTTTGTAAATTGAATGGGATCAAGCTTCTACCCTATAAACTTGATATCCTAAAGCTTGTTTAGGCAAATATTAAAGCAACAACTTACTAAAATATACGAGTTAATTCATTTGAATATAATCTCGTACGCTTTATGAGGATTATACTTGCTAAAGTTATTAGAGCGTCAGCCTTAAGGATATTATGGTAATATCAAGATATCATATGATATTTTCGTAATAACATTTATGAACAGAAACTCTCGCGGTGTCACGTTATACATAATTAATTGTATCATTTCCTGGAGTGGAATTATAGCTAAAATTATATCATAATATTAAACGAAGTTAATACTAAAATTCAGCTGAACTTTCTTTATTTTGCAATTAAAATTCTTCCTTGGTAATATTTTTGTTTTGCACTTAAATTTTTAGCGGATTTCACGCAGAAGATATATCCAACCCCGAGCGATATGGTACAAAGTTAAATGTTTATAAATGGTCAACGCGCGAACTACAACAAGTTATAGATCTGGGCAGCGAGGGTTGTGCTCCATTGGAAATCAGATTTCTTCATGATCCGAAATCCGCTCAAGGATTTGTCGGGTGTGCAGTCCAGGCCAATGTTTACAGGTACGGACATATTTTGTCTGTTTGTTTATTTTGTTGAACTTGAGGTTTATATGGCTTATGTATAAACGTTTCTAAATAAGTCTCATTTCATACGAAAAGGCGTACAAATTAAAGAAAAAAAAATCTCCTCGTTTTTTGGTGTTGATTGAAAATATCCAAATATCTACAAATAACACCTTAGTCGATCATAACCACGACAACTGGGCAGTATTTGAAACTTCCTAAATAATAGATTATATTGTAAAGGTATTTTATATTGTAAAAGTAAATTTATTCGAAATAGATAAAAAAAAATTTCAGACTCCTCATTTATTGCCGTCACTATCGTACGAATTCAAATAATAGGAATTACTAAGTTTACTAGTTACTCGACTTCAATTTTCTTTTGTTTGTATAGATTCTACAAAACTGCCGAAGGAACTTGGAAAGCAGATAAAGTCATCGACATACCGGCTAAAAAAGTTTTCAAAGATGGAGTCGAGTCGGAACTTAACGGTAGCTTCTTTATTTGTTTTATTTCGTTTACTCTAGTTTTTCTAACGTTAACTCTCAGTTAAGACACTTTCGTCTCAACCTATTTATTACCCGAGAAGTCTTTTTTACTTAAAGTCGACTCGACTTTTATCGATATTTAATTATCCTTAAGTTCAGGATCTAAGCTGCCACTTTGTTCTAAAAGTAGAGTATAGCTAAAACGTGCCACGAATATCTGATATTAAGCGTTGGCTTCGATTCAATCCAGAGCTTTTGTTCGCTGGAACATGACAGTTCCATTAACTTTTTGTTCTAGGTTTAATATCTGACATTCTTTTATCATTGGACGACAAGTATTTATATTTCTCGTGCTGGCTACACGGTGATGTTTATCAGTATGACATATCGAATCCGGAGCACCCAAAGTTAATAAGTCGTGTGCATCTCGGAGGAAAAGTTGCTTCGGAAGGTTTGAAAATCCTGGACAAGGAAGAGTTGAAGGCGAGCATTCCATCTTTCTCAATAAGAATTCGTAACGGCACAAATGAACGTCCCATGACTCGACGCAATTACATTTCCCCGTGTCATTCTTTTCATTTGAGTTTTTGCCGTCTGTTGTTTGTTAAATTATATTTTCGTTACCCTCGTTCACGCTTCTGTAATCTTTCGTGACCTTTCGACGCTTCGTTTTATGAATATTGATAAATTAATTTCGTTGTTTTTTCTCTCATAATTTACTTTTAGCATTAATTCTAAAAAAAGCCAGAGAAGTTTTGTGCGCTATTTTTGTTAATAATTTGAAAATTTTGAAAGTTCGTCTAAAGTTCGAAAACATTGGGTTTCATAATTTTTTTTTTTTATATTTAGAATTCAGAAAAACCGATAACAGTCAAAGGCAAGATACTCCAAGGTGGACCACAAATGTTGCAACTATCATTGGATGGAAAACGCTTGTATGTCTCGTCGTCGCTATACTCACCTTGGGATAAACAAGTTTACCCTAAAATGGCTGAAGAGGTAAAAATTCATAATGTTAATTTTTTTTATAAATCACTGCTAGCATTCAAACCATTTCTTTCAACAAGTACATAGTCAGAATAAGAAGTACTTCTTTATGTGAAAATACTGATCTCAAAAAAGCATACTTGTCGGTAAGTACAAGTAACGTTTTTACCAACAAATAAATGTTTGTTCATTTCTAATATCACTTCCTTGGGATCTTTTGTGTCTCAGATATCCCGAACATTCTCGACATTACAAGCAGAAAAATGTCGAACTTACTTCCATTATTAAATGCTACATACACACAAGTGTTTGTAAAGATTCAGAAACATTTTTATTGCGCTTGGTGGGGAAAAATATACTGCCAGTCGGGCTATTGTATCTATGCCGACTTGGCAGGCTGGTTCTGCCTGGACTGGACTCCTGGACTCCGTTGGCTGGGCGTCCTTGGGGTGAGCCGCGCATCTGGTTGCAGTGTTGACTGTGGTAGCCCCCTTACTGTGCCTGGTTTCTGACCTCGCAAATCAGACGCTTTAGCGAGAGTACAGGGTGTCCTTTAGTGGGTAGGGCTCTACCAGCCTTGGCCCGCGGTCCGCTTCCAATATCTGCGGACCGTCCAGTCCCACATCCTACGCGCGTCTCCTAGCCGCGGCGAACTTGTAGGAGGTTCAACCTCAGAAAAAAGTAGGGGTAGTATTGTATCAGTAGGCAGTCATTTGGCTCTGGCTCAAGTGCCATGAGCGACGATAACCACTCACTACTGTATGCTTGTTTGCCTATAAGGCCAATAAAAAGCCTCGGAGCCATCATGGCTTTTATTTTTTATTGTTTAGATGGTTGGACGAGCTCACAGCCCACCTGGTGTTAAGTGGTTACTGGAGCCCATAGACATCTACAACGTAAATACGCCACCCACCTTGAGATATAAGTTCTAAGGTATCAGTATAGTTACAACGGCTGCCCGACCCTTCAAACCGAAACGCATTACTGCTTCACGGCAGAAATAGGCAAGGTGGTGGAACCTACCCGTACGGACTCACAAAAGATCCTACCACCAGTAAATGGCTTAAATTGGATGGCAGTATTGGTCTTGCGACGTCACCACTTAACACAACACACATGTCGAGCAGTAACAAAACGAATCATTTTTGTTTTTGCTACTTGCTTACAACCGGTTTCTTATTTCTACAACTTTTTTAAAGCAGTATACGAATTTATGTTTTTGAGGTGTATTTCTTCTGTGGGGCCTCTGTCATCTCTGATTAATGAATTATTCACGAGCCACCACATTTTGTCATACAAATAGCTGTCAGATGTAATTTTAAACCTGGTCTACTGTGGAAGATTTTTTGTATTTTACGACAGGCATCCGAATCTCATTTTGCATCATTAGACATTTAGGAAAGGACGTTATTCTTCTTAATTGTCACTTAAAGGGATTCCCTTCGGGGCTTACCGAAAGAAACAAAGAAACAATTGTTATTACAAGAAAATGTAGCAAATTTATTGGTTCAATTAGAATATTCAGAGATAATTGTGCGTCTGTAAAATACGAAACTTTTATCTAGGTTAACTTGAAAATCTGAGCTGGTTAAATGAAATTAGAATGCCTGGTTTTGTCGTCTGAAAAGTGATTCGTATTTTATTCTGGGTAAGGTTTTAAATCGCGAAATGAGGTTACAGCCCACTTAGTGGTTACCGGAGCCCGTGATATTACGTGGGCTTAAAGTTATTTTCCACACAGAAACCACATTGAACAGATCTTTGGTTAGTGATAATACAGACCTGTTTGTCAGTAAATGTTGCATAATACATAACTTAAGCCCTGATTTCCGCGCAAATGTTTCTCCCTGAAACTCACGCTTCGGGGCATTAGCAAATATTTTGGCATCGCTGTTGTCAACACAAAACGTTAAGTTAATTGTAGAAATCTCGTTACTATGAGAATGTTCACTAAGCTAAACATACATCAGCTCACTGAGAGTTCACTAAACATAAATTAAGAAATACTCAAAAAACTATTAACTACAGTAGTGATATAGTAGTCGTAGACATCGCAATGTGAATGTCGATATCCACTTGAGTTACGAGGACTAAGAAAGTCTCAATTGTAATAATGGCTGTACCACCCTTCCAGTTGGAACGCTTCGCGGCAAAAATCGGCAGGATACCTTCTCATGTACCTATAATACATTACTACCCGAACTACATATAAAATAACATCAGCAGTACATTTGTATATACAGTATGTAACACGCCCCTAGCTAAGGCACTTGAATGTGAGATGTTGAGTTTTTTTTATAAACAAATTCATAGCTTTTGATAAAAGCTAAAAATAATTGTGCAATTCACACATAATAGAAAATAAACCACCAGAAGTAGTCTATCTCGCTGTATCGTCGACTAAATTCTATAATAGATATTTGGCTATTTTTAGAGTGACGTATTCGCCTTATCGAGTTTCTAATAATAGCAGCGTTAAAGAAGTTTTCGTTTTAAAAATATGTTTCTATTTTGAGAGTCCACAGTTAGATAGTCAAGTCAAGTGTTGCATCGGTACAAAACATATCCGCCCATGAAACCTACTTTTCCATTGTTCATCCAGGGTGGGTGGTTAGTAAAGTTAGACGTGGATACTGTGAATGGAGGCATGAAGTTGGATCCGGATTTCCTCGTAGACTTCGGGGCCGAACCGGACGGGCCGGCGTTGCCGCACGAAATGAGGTAACTTTAAAAACGTCCGACCGCTTTCCTACAACTTTTTGAAAATGTGTTTCCTTAGATCTTTTTGTGTTGTGTCGGTTTCATTAATGATGCTGGTCTAGATATCTTTTTTTTTAAGAAAAATGTTTGGTTCTTGGCGAATGTCTTTTAACGAGCAACATGAATTTTATTCGGTGCTCGCCAGAAATAAACCTAATTTTGCAGGGTCATTGTTAAAATTAATATACTTTTATAGATTGAATTTTGTCTGGACATTAATCAATAGATTCATTTCGGAACCCAGACAATATTCTCTTTTTACTTGATGTTAATTTTGTTATTCATTCTAGATACCCCGGCGGAGACTGCACTTCAGATATTTGGTTGACAGATGACTAAAATATTCGTTGGCTGGCTAATAATAGGATTTATATTACATAATATTATCAAAACGAAATCTGCTACATACGATAACGTCGTGTGCCCATATTTTTGGACGTTTATTAATGTATGTAAAATAACTTTAGCTTTTATCTAATAATGAAAATGTAATCGATTTATAAATCAATTTGCATTATATATTTTTGATATTTTGCAGAGCGTTATATTTAAAAATAAATGTGAAATACATATTTAGCTTAAAGGAAAATTATCATAGTTGAGTAAATCTATTAACTGTATCACAATAAAGAAACATTCTGGTAAACTTATAACATGTATACTAAAAATCGATCAATAAATTATTGTAATGTATTTTTTTTTACTTTGATTTTAATTATTTCCCAGTTGTGAACTTTTACCAGAGTTGCTTTATGTTTCACATAAACATAAGCAGTAAACACGTATCTATTATAACTAGAGGTCCCGCAGTAGTCGAAATTCGACTATAATTAATTGGAATTGTAAGTTTGTACACTATTATGATTGTATTGTATACTTCTATAATCACAAATTTCGCCAAGGCTACACCATAAAAAATATTAACAAAGACAAACAATATTTAATCTATTCTCAATTTGACAACAGACGTCAAGAACAAAAGTTTGACAATAAATAGTATGCATGCGTGTGTGCGTCAAATACATGGTATGTGGTGTGTGTGATGTTTTCTTTATTGATTTAATCTATATTTTACGCATTATTTAAAAAAAATATTAGCATTGTGCACATCTTCTCTATATTCTCTATAAGTGTGGAAAATTTCATACTCCTCCGTCCGCGCAATTTTCGTAAAAAGGGATACAAAGTTTTTGCTTCACGTATTAATATATAGATTCCAAAATATCGTAAAGCTATTTTCTTTTTTAAATAAACCTGTCTGGACCTTATAGTAAGTATTTATTTGCAAAAATTATGTTGATAATTCGTTTTATTTTATGCGAGAAGAATAAAGATAAGTTTTGTGACTAAATACTATCATTAGCGCGACATCAGGTTAAACAGAAAGGTCAGAGGTCAAAAAGAACAGAAAATAATACCGTTCGTAGCTTCTGCATTGTTGATGAAGTATTTGAAATACCTAAATCCTTGAAGTTGTTCGGAATAGTGAGGTAGTTTGAATGCGAACTAAATATTTCAAGCGCATCCAAAATTCAATTATTCAGAATTTCACTAACACGTGGGTCGGAATTCCGCAGAGCGCATTGTGGTCGAATTAGCAACTTTTCAATGTAATTACCAATTTAATTCACTATGTTCTGTGAAGAGAGCCGCGCTATAAATTCAATTGTTGTATTTCTGATAGTTAGTTGGCCATTTCGGGTTTTGCGCTCATTTACCTTTACATGAATACAGTTTTCTGCATCCTTTTGAAATAATAATTAGGATCGTCGATCTTCTAAGTGAACTTTGTTAGCAGCGAAATTCATTAGCACACATATGCCTGTCACTTATGGAAGTCAGCTATACGAAAAAGAGAGATAGAGACAAGTAGCTCTTTATCGCTAGGATTCTCTCTTCAAGCCTTGTTTGAAGAATACGACATTGCTCTTAGTAAAATATGATGAAGGAAATTCATTCCATAGCCCGGTACCACATGTTAAAAAAGATATCTGATAATGCACTGTGCATGAATAAGGTGGTTCCAGGCTTTAGGGATGCATGGGATGCATGCTATACTCCAGAATTATGCGGCAAAATCAACCTACTTATACACTTCTTTACAGCATATACGTATGATATAAAATGCATAGCGATAAAAGCGAATTATCAACTAGTTCGAAAAGATGTTTTATTCTTTTGTTCGAAATATGTTTAAGAACATTCACCCAATGAAGTTGATATGCAAAAAGTAGCCATTGGAGACGGTTTCAGTGAACAAACAAACGTACAGCTTGTCACATGGTCGGTGTCTATGTACATTACACACTCGGCACGTTTTTGGTTATCGTCGTTGTCAAACCAAAATCTGCTATGTGCACTTTTTGTGATTTTTACTTTTTGAACTTTTCGCATAGTTCACAGCCCTATCTACCGTATAAAAAAAATCTTACGTTACGGACGTTTTTCCCCGGTTACGGTACCCCTCCGCAATGTCCTATAAGGAACTTCGTTCCAAAAGCTGTTATGTGTTTATAGCTTTAATATTTACCTATAGCTTTCATTTGATATAGTTCTTAAAAATTCACCTTCATATAAAATTTTATACGAAAATGTTTTTACTCGTTAATTCAAAATAGAATTTTTGTACATAGCAGGTTTTGGTTTGACAGCGACGTTATATTGCTGTGCTTGTTTACTAGCTCGTGTGATCATCAAACACTGTCGCAAGTGTTCCTGTTCGATTCCCAGTTGTAGTTAGTTTCTTTGATTGATATTGGTTTAAATAATTGTTATCGTAGTACATGGGAACTGCCATTTAAAAATTTGACTCGGAGACATCTGCGATACTCTGTTTGAGTCATCAGAGGTGTAAATAAGCTTGATCAAATCTAGCTGAAATGAAAATTTGTCGTGAAATTGTTTCTTCGTTTTAAAGTGAGAAATAAACAATTTTGAACTTAAGCGTCAGGTCAAATCAAGTCGAATGACCTCAAGTAACAACAAATTTTGTAAATCTCACCAAATGGATGAATTCATAACCGGGAAGGAAGTCCTCTTTGATTACCGTCTAATTTTACAAGGAAGTAATTACCCCTTTTCTCGATCAAGTATTATTTAATTCATTCCCAAATTACCCTTTCAAAGAGATTTAGGGTTTTCCGTTACTGCTTAAAATAAATATAGCTCTACAAAATAAAAATAAAAATAAAGTTATTTTGGGAATGATTAAAAGCGGGTTAAAATTTAAGCTGGAGGTTAATTTTAGATGAAATAAATTTACAAACTTGTAGGTATATTAGAAATTCTTTTAATTTGGGCGCTTAATGTTTTGTAAATTATGATAATTTCTGACTAGAATAAAACGCCAACTAGATTTAAAACTACTAAAAGACCAAGCCGTAAATATATCAAACATCTCCGCAGCTCTTGAAAATATTTAAAAAATATTATTAAGAAATTAAAAAAATAATATGAAATTTCACCCAACTGGAGAACTTAAAGTTACTTATTAAAGTATTATTGAAAACAAAATGTACTAAAGTCAAAATGGGAAGACACAAATAGTTCTAAATAAAATGTTGGCACTAAACCACCTTATTGGATTTGCTCGTATCATGGACTATATATATATGGCATTAAATCATCAGATTTTGTGCCCTTACCGAGGCGCACTTTCGTTTCCTGGCAGGAAAAGACAAGAAGACGATTCCCGCATGTCGATGTTTATAATGCACCCTACCATAAATAACATTAGTGTCCGGAAGATAGAAGAATTTAGGAAGGTAATTGTGGAGAGTATACTACCACTACGGAATACTGAAAGAAACGCAGTAGCACCAGCTCGTTTAACTGGCGTAGACGCTATTTGTAGAAAGATCTAGTCTTCAGAAAGCTGTAAAACGATGAAAGAAAGAAGAGATAGAACTACAATATCTCCACAATTCTAATTTCTACCCATCTAAGCAATAAAAAATAAAAGTTCTAATTTCAAACAAAATAATGAACAAATTCACTTAGCGTTAACACTAAATTGAATATTTAATTATTTTTTCTTCTCCTCGTTGCGGGGACGGTAACGGCAAATGCTGGCCCGTAAACGCCATTCCAACGTTGGCCGGACCCTTTTAAGCCGGTTTCATTATCGTGAAAGCAATCTTTATTTTGCTACATTTATATCGATTGGCGCTCTACGATTGAGACTTAGTTCTTTTTTTGATTATGTAGCTGTTATAAAAACAAAACTATAAATCTAGAATGAAAAGAAAAAGTTGTAAATGGATAAACAAGCTCGCAACCCATAGACACCACTCACTAAAGTCACGCCTTCATTCAATTCTTAAAATTATCACGACATCTTCCTTCTTCCTCTAACTTCCTCTCTTCTTATTATCCATCCTTCTACATCTGGTTCGACTAACCGTACAAATATCGTTTAATTGAACTGTGGGAGTAAATTAAGGCATTGCGCAAATTAAATATAATATTGGGATACAACTCCAGGAAAGTCAACAAATAGAAACCGATGAGAGATAAATAAATCAGAAATACATCTTTTGGATGGAAAATTTAAGTCAAGTCAATTTTATCTTTTTTTATTTATTTGTCTCCTAATCAAGCTTATAGTGTTAAGTAGTTATATTATCGGAGCCCATAGACATAAACGTCGTAAATCCTGACACCCACCTTGAGACGTGACTTCTAAGTCTCAGTTTTTACCCTTCAAACCGAAACACATCACTGCTTTATGGCAGAAATAGGCAGCGGTAGGCAGTGGAAACAGGCAGGTAGCACCTGCCCATGTGCTAGATGTCAAGATGCCCTACCATTAGTAAATGACCTACTATCAAAATCAAAATTAATTGAATGGTTGTGTAATTTCCTGTGAGGTTACGCTCCCTGCCGCTACCCTTTCGAGCAAAACGCAAAGAAGAGCGATGAAGATTTTTTAATAGATTACAGACCATCCCAAAGCTTCCCTACCGTGAGGTGAACTACCATCGACGTAAAAAAAATAGGCTATGTTAAACGATTAGCAAAGACGTAATCCATTAGAAGGGGTCAAGCCTAATTAAAAGAGGTATCATTAATTACCAAAATATCCCGTCATTTATCCTATCTTTAACTTAATATAATAGTTATTCCGGAACAGCATTTGAGAATTACGTTTGAATACATGACCTAATAGCACATCGCTTTTTTTAAATGTACTTTACAACACCTAACCCATAATACATGAGTGGCACCGGACTCACCACTAACCGGGAGAAGGGGTGATTGCTCGTGAGGCGCATAACATCTGCAATGATACTGAATGACGATCATGACCGCTCTGATAAAAGTGATACGACAAAGATATATACATAGCTTTATAATAGATGTATTTACCCCTCTATGATTGTAAATAAATGTGTAGTTAAATGCAATTGATTTTGTTACCGAGACTTTTGCTCAACTAACTTAGAAGACAATAAAATTAGAACTTCCATAACAAGCTTAAAGCGGAACACCGAATAAGACCGTCCGGAAATTCGTATTATTGTGTTACAGCTTTTCAAATCAGACTACAATTTTAAAATAATTGTTGCAATCTAAGGTGTTCATTTGACGCAGACTAAATTCAAGAATGTTACACTTATTCATTGTTTTGGTTTGTTTCCATAATAAAAATTAATGACGTATAAAACTTCACGTGATGGATT